AGGAGAAAACGCGTAAAACGCGTATTGGCTGCGCCCAGGGTCACACGACTCGTGTCACAAGGCACACGAGTCGTGTGAAAAAGTCGAGAGCTCGATTCACGACCCGTCGGAACGACACGAGTCGTGTCGGCGGTCACACGACCCGTGTGAGTCTGGGAGGTTGAAACAGCATTTTCGGAGTTGCTCGTGACTCCTGACGTGTTCTCCAGCGTCTTAGTCGACTCCTGGTGGTCTTACGGCATACAGGTCGTCGTGCGTGGCGAGTTCTGGCTATTTTCCGGCGTCTTGCAGTTCCTCCGGCATGGACGGAGAGCAGCTTCTTCTCCATGGTGACAGGATGGCGGCGCGAGGATGGAGAGATGGTCAGGACATCAGAAACGTGGCTCTCCGGTGAGTTTTCAGTGGTCGTGATGGTGAGGCTATGGCGAACAGGAGCTGCAATGGCGGACGGATGTTCATGTTCTGCACGTGAAATCCTTGAAGAAGATGATCTTATTGCTAGATGACCATGTTGCCCTCAATTAAATGGCCTTTGGGCTGGCCCAAACTGGCCCTTTCTCATTTATCTTGCACTATAGCCCAAACATATAAGACCAACCATTTAGTTCCAATTTCCAAGTAGTGGGCTATGTTTCAATCTATTCCGTCTTGTTCGGTTTACGTCATTTTCGACTCCAAAAATTATTTCGGACCTATTTCCTGTCAAAATTCAAAATAATACACTTCATCATAGCTTAATAAAAATAATTAACTAATTAATTAATTAATAAAAATTAATTAAACAATAATTAATTATATATCAAACTACGACGAAACGGACACGTAAATCACTATAAAATGCACGTAAATTCGACGCATGTCATCGCAGAGTTCGTTAGGCGATGTCTTACCTGTCAACAAGTCAAGGCCGAGCATCAGAGTCCGATTGGCCTCCTACGTTCATGTATAGTAGTCATGTTTTGAATTTCCGAGGACGGAAATTTTGTAAGGAGGGAGGATTTTAATATCCCAAGATATTATCAATATAAATTACGTTTAATTCCGATATAGTAACATTATCGTTTATTATTTTCGGAATTAATTAAGTTCAGTCGGATTACCGAAATCTATTTTCGGCGTACCGTTTACGTCCGAAATAATTTTGGTAATTAAGTATTATGTTTAATTTAACAATTAAACATCATTTGAGTGATTAATTACATTTAATCACATTAATTAGCTTAAGAAGCTCTAAATGCCGTGTAGTTAAGGAAAATTTTCCCAAAAATTATACTTATTGTCGTGGCCTTTCTTAAGTGTAAGGAAAGGTTATTAACCAATTAGAGTGAGCAATTTGTCAAGCAATTAGATAGCTTAGTCATCACATCTTCATCCCAAATTGTAGCAAGTGTAAGAAAGGGAAGAAGCCACATTAGGCCTCGTCATCATCCCTCAAACGTGCGCCTCTCTATATAAGCCTAGCACTTGGACAATTTTGCGCCATTTTTCCTTAAGGACCAGACTTTATCTTCAGCACTCATACTTTTCCTTATATCAGCAATCAAGTTAAGTATATTTCCCCAAAACTTCGACGCAATCGCACGGCACTACAAGTAGTTACCACACGGCGAGTTCAAGGCGAGAAGCACGCGTTGATTTCCGAATTCCGTCGAGCGATTCTTAAGGTATCTTCCTCCTCATGTTAGAAGCATGTTAACAAGTCTAGTTCAGAGTTAATTGTGCGGAGGATTTTTCAGAAATCATGTTTAAAATCGTACTTAAGCCTATATATGTTATCGCCGAACAAAGTTTGATTCCCCTCGGCAACTTTCGAACAAAAGTCATGTATATGATCAGATTAGTTCATTGTGAGTTCAGTATGATCGAATTATTGAGATAAGATGAAGTGTGGCCGATGAAAGGGCCCAGCCGGCGCCACCCGCGCCTATTGCGCGTAGTTTCGGGTAGCCGCGGGGCCGAGGCCTACTGTTCAGTATTAGCCAAGTTCTCTCGTGTGATTAAGTCTTAATTCATTTTAATATATTGATCATATAGTAAAATTCTGAAGTTGTCGAGTAAAGTGGCTATTTGGCCGAGCGATGACCGAAGGCCGTCGGCATCGCATATAGCGAGCGCGCCACGGCCGGAGGTTCGGTTCATCGAGTTAAGTTCAACTGTTTTATGTTAAATTCAGCTTAATGATCATTTCAGGTCTTAATATGCTAGTTAAAGTCAGATTGGTCGGAGTGAATTGCCGGACGGTCGACAAGGCGTCGACCGTGGCCGC